ATTCTGGGTTGATTGTACTGTATCTTATACACCAAAGCTGTGTCTTAAGAAATGTTGCATGTATTCTTTGTTTCTTGTACAGTGATTCTAAGAACTGCATGTCATTAATTTTATATGTTGTCCTTAACATGGAATACAATAGCAAAATATGACTCCTTAACTGTCATATTGTTCCTGGTATATCCAGTTCTTCGATATACCATTCTTAATTGTTATTTAAATTCTTAACCCATATTCATGCATGAAATGTTGGTGATCTCTTAGAGTAGAAGCTTTCTACTCTCTTTTTTAGGAAATTATGTTTCTCTCAGCAACTTCACCATTAACACATCTGCTGTCTAAATGTATCCTCTTTCCCAACTTTGGCAACTTGGACTCCAAGTCCTAGAACAGGGGTCCCCAACCCCCGGTCCATAGGCCTGTACCAGGCTACGGCATGACAGCAACCGGTCTGCACAAACAAGCAAAGCCCCATCCATGGGATGCAGGCAGCACACAAAACTATGCCCCCTCCGGTCCGCGGAAAAACCTCTCTCCACGGAATTGATCCCTGGTGCCCAAAAGGTTGGGGACCTCTGTCCTAAAATTCCTTGCCATCTATTGCAGAGCAGAGGTGGGGAACTAGGTCCCTTTATGACTTGTGGACTTCAACCTCCAGAATTCCTGAGTCACCATAGTCATAAAAGGGCCATATTCCCCACCCCTGGTGTAGAGTTTTACCTTTTCATGTGCTATTTTTGAGACACTCCTCACTTACCCCATGTGCTGTTAAAGATGCCATACTTGATATAAATAAGGTAATATGTTGCAGTAGGAGTGGACTAAAAAGCGAATCACGTTCAGAGAATGATATTATCCGGCAGCTGAGGAAATAGAAATCTTGACTCTTTCAGGTAAATTGCTTTGGAGATTAGAGATGGAATTCTAGGCTTTGTTCACATGTTGTATTAGTAGAAGGACATTTTGATTCTTCCACTCTTATCACTGTTGACAATTCAATTCATTGTCTCCCAGTCGTTCCCCATGTCCTTTTTGTTTTTGCTTACTGATGAAGTTGTACCCCTAGAATTCTAGAGGAAGTGATTATTTAACTTGAAATGTACATTGAAGTTAAATATGAAGGAACTGATTATTTATTTATTCTAGTTGATAGAGATTAACTGATAATAGAAGTGGCATGGAAACATGACAATTGCCGCACATAACTACAAGTAAAAGTTTAAAGGGTTCACACACACACATACACACACACACATATACAGATACAGATATCATGTCACCCCTCATCCTTCTCTTCATTAAACCAGACATACCCAATTCCATCAACTGTTCTGTATATGTATATGTGTGTGTATGTATATATGTGTATGTTCCAGTATCTCAGGGGTTGCCACAAAGAAGAGGGAGTCAAGCTATTCTCCAAAGCACCTGAAGGCAGGACAAGAAACAATGGATAGAAACTGACCAAAGAGAGAAGCAACCTAGAACTAAGGAGAAACTTCCTGACAGTTAGAACAATTAACCAGTGGAACAGTCTGCCTCCAGAAGCGGTGAATGCTACAACACTGGAATTTTTTAAGAAGAGACTGGACAGCCATTTGCCTGAAATGGTACAGGGTTTCCTGCCTGAGTAGGGGGTTGGACTAGATGACCTCTAAGGTTCCTTCCAACTCTCTTATTCTGATATCTCTTATTTCTTTATTGGTTTTCCTGTTTTAGAAAAATAACACAAATGTAACATGTGGAGAGGTTATTTATTTTAGGAATACCTTCCTTTAATGACAACAATGCACTACCATTTTTTACTTAGAAATGAGTGTAACAAAAACCTATTCTCAGTGAGGTATGAATAAAATTGCATGTTGTTATTAAAATTACGGATAGGACCTTCCAAGTTTTGATCATTAGGAAACTGTTGAAAAAAAATTACAGAATGTGGCACCTTTAACAGTCTTCCTATGCATTCTTTGCATAATATTGTCCTTCTCTTTCTTCCATTCTTATATTACCAATTCTTTAGCCTCGGGATATAAGCCCAGAAGAGATAGATTTAAAGAATGAGCCTTGGTATAAATTCTTTTCGGAATTGGAGTTTGGGAAACCGGTAAGTTGATAGTCCCAAGCATTAGTAAATAAGATGTTGTTATGGATCACTGTCTTTTCCCTCTTCATTGTATGCATAATGGAACAAAAATTAACTCATCCTGGTTTAGCCAACTTAATTATACTGTAAAAAGAGTTATTATTTTATAAGCTGTAGTGTATGTTAGGTATTTATTTTTGGGGGGAAAACCATGCAGGCCAGATTTTGAAAATCAAACTGAAGGAATATCAACAAATTTGTAACTATAAGATACTATGGATGTTTTCTAAAGCAGGGCTTTTCAACCTTTTCAGAGATTATACCACTTTTAGGATATGGCAATATTCGGTGGGTGTGGCTTGCTCGACGCCACTCACTGGACACAGCTGACTCAAGACAGCTGGGTCGGAACGGAACAAGCCGCACTGGCTAACTCGATGTGGGGACAACTCGGTGTCCCACAATCTCCTCGCCTCCCCAAACTGCTAGCAGCCAAGTGCATGCGTGCGCACACATGTACGCACGCACACTGCATTCCAGGTCTGGGGACTTTTATCCACAGAGGAAGGAGAGGGCCTTCTCCCCAAGCCCAGGCATGATTGGCAATTAGCTAGCTCAGGTGTAGATGCATGTCTCCAATCTTGGAATGTGTGTGTGTGTGTGTGTGTGTGTGGATAGCACACTAAAGAGATGTTCTTTTCCCAATCTCAGACATCGTTGGTGTTTCCCTGTCTGGTGACCCCTCCTGGCAAAGCAGGAAGTAGAAGACATTTACAGGAAGCAGTTTCCTCCAAGGCCAACTTCTGTCTTGACAGATCTCTGGAGAGCAAGGGGAGGTGGCAGGGGACCAGTGCTCCCGGGTCCTGCACAAAGGAGGCTGGCCCTTCTCGAAAGGGAATTCCCATTTCCAATCATACGTGATAAGGATGCTGGTTTGTTGGGGCAGCCTTCCCTCACACAGCTCCCCTGCCACCCACTCCTCCTCTCCAGAGGTCTGCAGGGGAGACAGAGATCTGGAGGGCAAGGTGCAGCCTCCATATTGGCCACTTCTATCTCTCCAAGCCCTCCTCAATTAAACACACATTATATATAGATCAAAACACAGCCAAAAAGAAAACATAGTTAAATCACCAATTCAGCTCTTCACATATTTTCTGGAAAAACCACCTTTATTGATGTTAGGAAGGAAGAGCAAACCTTATTAAGGAACTCTTAACAGGAAGGGAATTGAAGACCCCAAAAGGTCTTGTTCTTTCTAATCTGCCTTCCCTTTGAGCCTTTAGTTCTTGTTATTTTATTGTTATGTATTTAAGAAGAAGAACAAAGGCCTCCATAGCTCAGGATACTCACCTTAAAATCAGAACCCAGAAAAAATTGAGTTAATCCACAACACCACCCTATGAAGAATGAAGATAATCTTTGGGCCCTGAGAGCATGCAGGTGTCCAGTCAGAATATTAGTGGCACACCTGTCAGCAACTGGAAGTGCATAAGTCCATGTACTTCCCTTCCCTGTCTCACAACTCAATCCATACATCCTTTAATTTTCAGACACTTTTTTTCCGCTTAAGCTCCTTAAAAAACCCACAAGTTATAGTGTAGTTAGCAGGAAAAATAAATCTAGCTCTCCTGAATTCTTTCCCCAAGGGGAAACGGAAAGTTCACAGCCTGCAGATTGCTAGTAAAGTCATCAAACAACGTAGTTATTGCTGCTAAAGGCAAGAATAAATAATACCTCCTTTGGAGCCGTCCTGATTCCGACTGGCCTGCTGGCATGGCGGTGGGTAAGCCGCATTTTGCAGGACAAAGCTGGAGGATCTATGCCGGCAGGCCCGTCGGCATCAAGACAGCTCCAAAGGAGGTAGCTGCGGGGGGGGGGGGGAAGCAGGAGGGTTTCCAGCAGGTGCCGCCAGGCCTACAAACATGGCGCTGCCTTTCCGCTTTCCAACCCCGAAATTGCAGAATAAAGTTGGGCAGCCTCTGAGCTCCCCTGACAAGCTGCAGATCTGCCGTAGTCTTGGCTGCCGCCCTCTTCCTTGGCTGGGCGAGGCTGCAGCACCCGGCCTTTAGTCGGGGCTGCCGGCATGGCGGCAGGCGGGAACGCCGGGGGAGCGCCGCTTTGCAGGACGGAGGTACTTACAACTCCTGCCCCAGCTATGGCGAGGAGCGGCGACTGCGTCTGTGCTCAGGGGGTGAGGAGAAGGAAACGGAGGGGCGCGGTGGCTGGGCTGCCTTCTGGCCCGCTGAATTCAGTGTTTTCCTTTGCGAGCTGGGGTGGGCCAGTCCCTCACTCTCCAGGGCGGCCCCAGGCCAAATGTAAACACCCCATGGACATGTTTATCCCCTCCTCCTTCTTTTGTCTTTGGTGTAGCTGCAACTGATTCCTTTCCCCAGACTGCGCACAGCTTCTAGAATGCAGTCAGCTAGAGCCCGGCGCAGATCCTAAGTGCTCAGCAGAGCCCCGGCAACACTGTGGCTCCAGCTGGCTCTCCCACAGGCCTGTGCTGCATTGCTGCCGCTTCAGCTCATCCCCACACTAACTTTTACACTTTTTTTTACACTTTTTTTTTACAGTGCTTTTCAACCCATCGTAAGCGTACCACCTGCCAGGTGCCAACGTGCCACCAGTGGTACATGTACCACAGGTTGAAAAGCGCTGTTCTAAAGTTCTTTTAGAATTACATTTCAAGCTGTAATTTGATTCTACAACCATGAGGTGTAAATTCAGTTACCTTGTTTTTCCTATTCATATGCTTTTCAATATTTTGCTTTTGCTAACAAGTTCAAAGGGAGAATATCAGAAAGTATTCTCATTTTGAAGTTCTCATTTTTGTCTTGTATTGAATGAAATTGTTGGTTAGGGAAGGCTTTATATGAAAGGACTGCACGAATTTTATGTGGGATCTATTTTTCAAAGGAAAAATGTACCAAGTAAAAGTTTCTTCCAAAAGGCAATTCAATAGTTGAAAAAATTATGTGGTGAAATTTAGTTGTTGACTTACTGCTTTTCTTCTCTGAAGCTGAAGGCAGTGTACATAGAGCTGGACCAAGACCATAGTTGTCCCAGAATCATCCAGTGCAATCTGGGTTTAATGCTTCCTTTATCTAATATCTTATTTATTTTTATATAGTGGCAATTCTTTGTCAAATAACAACCCAAGGAAACGCATACAGTGTTCTGTATAAATCATACTGGGAGGCTTAGTTCGTATTGATTTCTTGACCAAATGGAGGCATTTGGTTCCTTTACTTGCTGTTTGCTTTTTATTTCTGAAATTGGTATTGGGAGAAAATGCAATGCATGGATAAGATTTTTCAAGTAAGACAGGGTTTGTTATTTTACCCTTCTTAATCGAGATATATTTTTATGAACTGGTCTGAGCAATAAAGTGGAGGAGTATCAGATATCCATTGAAGGTGAGGCCCTTATCAAGAAAGCTTATCCCCAGGGACTTTCTCAATGGGAGTGCTCTCTGGATATCCTATTGGCTTATTTTTAAGTAAATGTAAATAAAATGAAATCAGATTTCTAATTTGTTTTGTCCAGAACCCACTTGTTACTTTTGAAGAGTGGTGAAATTGAATTTTCAATCGGGGAAAAAAATCCATCACTGATATAAGAGGAAAATTATGTCAGATTACTCACCATGATGAATGCAAGGCAAAACGCTTGAAAATGCTGAGCCAAATTATAGCTAGCAGCATTCCTTGAAACACCCCATTCCTCAGCTCCATCATCAGCCATGGCAAATGGCATCAGTATTGCTTTTTGACAAAGGGTAATAGAGTTCATTAGAGTTGTGGACAACAAGGAAACCAGCAACTTTATTGCCCTTTCAGCTATTCTTTTGTTCAAACTCAGTACCATTGCAACCCCCCCCCCAAAGCTTCACTTGCTTTCCCATATTTTATTTCTGCATAAGAATAATAGAATCTCAGAGTCATATAATGACTCAGTAGCACAAAATTGAGAGACTATAAGCAACTAGGCAATAAAGTTAAGGAGCAAGGAGCAGAGGTAGTGTTCTCATCAGTACTCCCAATAAAAGCCCAACACTCATTGAGGGGAAAAAAATTCTAGAAATAAACCACTGGCTAAAGGGTTGGTGTCGCCAAGAAAACTTTGGTTTCCTGGACCATGGAGTGCCTTTCCTATGCGATGGACGTGGCAAGGGATGGGCTGCATCTCATAAAAACAGGGGAAAATGTACTCAGAAAAAGATTGGCCCAACTTATTAGAAGGGCTTTAAACTAAAATTGAGGGGGAAGGGTGACCTTCCCTTAGAATCTCTAGAATCTCTAGAACACAAAACCAATCATAAATCCCAAGAAAACAAATCAAACAAAGAGGTAGGGAGTGATGAGAAAAAAAAATCAAACAACAATCAGGAGATCCAGAAAACAAACCCATGGACAGATATAAAAGTCTTAAATGTTTATATACTAATGCTCAAAGCTTGGGGAACAAACAGGATGAACTAGAAGCAATAGTACACGAGGGTGGGTATGACATAGTTGGCATTACAGAAACCTGGTGGGACGAAACCCATGATTGGAATGGACTGATGGATGGATACAAATTGTTCAAAAGAATCAAGTCTACAAAAAGAGGAGGGGGAGTTACACTGTATGTAAGAGAATACTACATATCTACAGAAATGCACATGATCAAAGATAAAAGCCCTCCAGAATCTATAAAAGGATAAAAGCCCTCCAGAATCTATAAAAGGAAAAAAAGTGGACTCTTTGCCAACCAGTTAACAAATGTATATAGGAAGCATACCACAGTAGTAATGGGAGACTTCAGCCACCCAGATATCAGCTGGGAGACAAACTCTGAAGCGAGCAGGAGATCAAACAGATTCCTAACCAACCTAGCCAACAACTTTGTCATCCAAAAGGTAGAGGAGGGAACTAGAAGTAAAGCTATACTGGACCTAATTCTTACTAATAGAGAAGAAGTGATAGAGGGAGTTGAAGTTGTCAGATCCTTGGGGGAAAGTGACCACATCATACTGGAAT